GCTCCGCCTGAGGGGCGTGCCATACCTCGGAAAGGGGGCGTGGCATGCCGCCGAAGGAGTGGGGCATGGTGCTGAAAGGGGCGTGGCATGCCACTGGAGGGGTGGAGCTCGAGCCTCACATGGTGAGTTGTCAGGAAGTGATTGGACAGTGGGCAGCTTGGGGGAGGAGCATGAATGGCAGTTGGAAAAGCGTTAGGGAAGGACTGTTAGGAAAAAACGGTTGCTAGGGAGTTAGCGCAGAGGGAGGAGAGGAGTAGGAGTGGAGGAGAGACTGCAGGAGGGGAAAGCTCGCAGCAGCCGGGCAGGCCTGTGGAGAGCGGAGAGGCCTGCAGAGGAGGAGGAAGGGGAGACAGGGAAAGGCCTCCCCTTCGGAGGTTTGGAGCTTTACAGCTTTGGAGGTCTGAGGTTTGGAGGTTTGCAGACCAACTCATAAAGGTCGGGGGTCAGGACTACCCATTGGAGGCTTGGAAGCTTGGTGGTGGAGGTTGCTCTTGGTGCTGGGATCTAGCCAGGACAAGGTGGTCTCAAGACCCTTTTCTGGTGTAAATAGTGAAAATACACTTCTTTTGTCCAACTTTCACTGTCTGTGCCTCCGTGGATTGTCTCGCTCTCCCTAAGTCCTAAGTCCTTCTCGGTTTTCCCTTCCTCCTGCCCCTCCTCCCTCCTCCCCCCCCAAGCTGTAAAGTTCATTTTCAACATAGTGTCTTGTACATCTCACTGTTACAATGGGTCAACCTGTATCCTTATTTCAGCATTTTGTTGTTTCCCTTCCCCTCCCCAAATTAGAAAAATGTATATGCAAGATTCAGGGCACCGGAATCAAATCCAGTGAAAACAGGGGTTATACCATGGAGGGAGAATATACAAAAGAAACAAATCATATGGTTCATTATAAGTATGTTAAAAACTACAGCAAGAAAGCTGAAACCATTTGTGTCTCTATCTTGGGGTTCATTTTGCTTAGCACCATCTTATATGGTCATATGTACATAGCTTTTGAACTTTTCTGCTTGTCCTAGACATATACTAGTTATTGCAAATAAAGGAAACCATGGGACCTATGTTTCTTTGGGCCTGGCTTACTTAATATAATTTTTTACAAGTTTTTCCATTTCCTGAAAAATGGGGCAGTGTTTTTTTTTTGGATGGAGGCATACAATTCCATATATATATATATATATATATATATATATATATAAATTTTCACATTTTCTTGATCCATTCATCTATTGAGGGGCATTGGAGTTGGTTCCATATCTTAGCTATGGTAAATAATGCTGCGATAAACATAGTTAAGCTGGTCGCTTTAGTATAGCCTGGTTTGTGATCGTTTGGGTAAATGCCCAAAAGTGGGATTGCTGGGGAAAAATGAAGTAAAACTCTTCCTCTTTGCAGGTGACATGATCTTGTGTTTAAAGAAACCCCATGGACTCCACTCCCAAATTACTCAAGCAGATCTGAAACTTTGGCAAAGTGGCAGAGTATAAAATTAACCCTCAAAAATCAATGGCTTTTCTGTATGCCAACAATGAGAAGAATGCGGCTGAAATCAGGAAAGCAACTCCTTTTGTAATAGCCCCACAAAAAATAAAATACCTAGGAGTTAACTAAAGAAGTGAAGGACCTCTACAATGAAAACTTTAAAAACCTAAAAAAGGAAATTAAAGCAGAACTAAGGAAGTGGAAAACCTCCCATGCTCCTGGATTGGGAGGTGAAAATGGAACTACTTCCAAAGGCTATCTACAAATTCAATATCCCAACTTCATTCTTTAGTGAAATAGAAGAAGCAACCAAAAATTCATATGGAACAATAAAAGACCACGAATAGCAAAAACAATCCTTAGCAGAAAGAACACTGCTGGAGGAATATCAATACAAATTTTCAAACTCTAAGACAAAGCCATTTTTAACTGTGTTCTCTAAGGCTCATAATTCTACAAAGCCATAGCAACAGAGACCACATGATAATGGCACAAAACCACACACACACAGATCAGTGGGGCTGAAAAGAAGACCCAGAAATAAGTCCACAGAGCTACAGCCCATCTGATTCTTTTTTTTTTTTTTTTTTATTTTTTTTTTCTTTTCAATATTTTTTTTTTTAATTTAATTTTATTTTATTTGAGAACATACTGTACAGAGGGGTTACAATTACATGGGCAGGATAATGCATACATTCCTTACCAAGCATTGCAGCCTCCTCCTTTGTTTACCCTTCACTTCCCTTCCCAGCCTCCCCCCTCCCTCCCACCCAATCATACCCCCCCTCCCCCCCCCCGACATTGTAAAGCTGGTTTTGACATGACATTTTGTACTTCTCATTGTTGCAACAGGTCCACCTGAATCCTTAAACGACTTGTTTGTCCCCATCTCCTCCACATGTTATACTGACATCAAATATAGTGAAAGCGCAGCCCATCTGATTCTTGACAAAGATGTCAAAGCTCATTGGAGAAAAGAAAACGAAAAAATGGTGCTGAAAATGCAGACAACTACATGTTGCAAACAAACTAGGTCCCTGTCTAGCACCCTGTGCGGAAATGAATTAAAAATGTACCAAAACCTTAATATAACACTTAAAACTTTGAAACTGATAGAGGCTAAAAATAGGAAAACTGCTTCTAGATATAGTCCTAATATTTCCTAATGAGCCCTAGAATGAGTCCTAGAATGATTGTCCCGCACAAAAGCCAGGAAGCAAAACAAGTTGTGTACTATGGAGTTTACGTTACCAGGAGTGATGTAAATGGTCACTATGATGTCACAGAAGATGAGGGATGGGATAGGATGTAATTCAGCACCCAGGAAATAAGAGCAAGAATTGAAAAATGGAATCAATTATCAATCTGAAGAGACAGCCTACAGACTGGGAGAAAATTTTTGCAATCTGACAAGGAATTAATATCTAAAATATAAAAAATATAAACAAAAAGAATCAATGATCCAATTAATAAAAGGGCAAATAAATGGATAGCTTTCAAAAGAAGGCCCAAATAACTAATAAACACATGAAATAATGTTCAACATCCTTAGCCATGAAGAAACTATAAATCAAGACAAAATTGGGATTTCATCTTACTCTAGTAATACTATGATTAGGAAAACAAGGGCTGGTGAAGATTTGGTAGAAAAAATATTCTTTTGGGAATAAGTTAATCTAGCTGCTATGGAGGTTCCAAAAAAATCCAACCCAAACCCCAAACCCCTAAAAATTAATTACCATACAATCTTGCTATAACATTGCTGATCATATACCCAGTGGAATGTAAAACACTATATAATACGTTAACATTCATGCTTATCACTGCACAATTCACAATAGTCAAGTTACAGAAACAGACTAGTTGTTCATCATTCTGATGAATAAACAAAGTATAGTATATGTACACAATGGAGTATTATTATTCCATAAATAATGAAACTTTTAGGAAATTTTTAGGAAAATAAATGAGAGTATCATGTAAAGTAAAATAAGCCAGCCTCAGAAAGATAAATACTGCTTATTTTCTGTTATATGCAAACTCTAGATCCATAAATACAACTAAACCAAAAGAGATGAACCTAAATGGAGTACTATTCAGGAAGGAGGCATTAGAGGAAAAGGGAACAAATTACAGTGATGGGGATTGAATAAGATGAAAGTACATTACACACGTGTGCAAATACCATACTGAAACCCATTATTTTGGGTAATAAACTTTTAAAATATAAAGTTATAACAAATTACCTTGAATTTATGCTATTTTATGTACTAGATAATCTAAAGATTATTTAAAATATGCAGAAGAATGCATACTCATTATATATAAGCCTTATGAAATTACATGTAAATGACTTTAGCATAACAGAGTTTGCTAACTGTTAACAGTCTTGGAAACAATCCTGCATGGTTTCTAAATGAATTTCCAAGCTGTTTAAATTAGTGTCCAATATATTGAAGAATTGAATGGAGGCTTGTTAGACCAGATCTAACAAGAGACTTGTTCTGAACCTTAATTTAGTATGTAAATGATTGTAGCTCAGAAGCATATTCATAAAGAATTATGTCCCAAGGAACTGTCACCGTTGACTCACTGGGGAGGAGGACAAATGAATGGCCTGGATGAAACCAATGCCCAGGAGGTCTCAGCAAGAGCATACAAATAGTATGCCCACAAGGCAGTATGCCATTTTCTAGTATTGTCTTCCTGGCCCATGCTTCCTTTGCTTTTTGTCTTTGCAACTTGTATCAATTGAAAAATGAAAAACTTTGAAGGTAAGTTTTAAATGTACAGTTGTAAATAATATTCTTAAGTCTGAAAAGCTGTAGTGAATTTTGTCATACTTTTTACTGAGTATGCAAGAAAAAATACACAAATTTGAAAAATTTTAAGCACAGGCAAGCTGGCATGTTAAAATAAAGCCACTGCCACAAATTATGATGGGAGAAATGATAATAAAAGTATTTAAAATTTCGTTCAAGTACCTAACATAGATTGTTTTACCCCTTATAGAGATGATTGATTTATTGCCCTGGATCATTGGTTCTGGATAAGGCTTTCTTGATTCTTTCAGATCTGGTTTTCTGATTCTTCCATGTTGCTGCCTCAATACTTTTAACTCTTAATGTTTCAGTAATGCCTCCCAGAAACGGCGTGATTCATCATCCCCACAAAACATTCTATCTAACAGATGCCTGGAGATAGAATCTAAAAACCAACTTCATTTTACCAACTTCCTCTGCTGAATTTTACCCATGAACAAAATCTGTAAACGATTACTTTGGATATATGAAACCACAATCACTTTTATATTTAATATCAACCTTATCAAAACCCAAAGAGATGGTTATTGTTAGCTTTGTAATATAGAAAGGGAAATTCAGGTTCAGAGTGGTTAGTTTACTTGTTAACAATTACTGTCTTTATAGTGTCATGAAGACATGGAGGAGTCACCTCGTAATTGACTAAATTCTCTACCTTTTTAAAATGCTACTTCACTGTATGTGAAATAAAGGAGAATGGCATTAATGAATGGAAGTCACCCTGAGGAGTTCATTCTATTAGGTTTTGCTGATAGACCTTGGCTGGAGCTTCCTTTATTTGTTATTCTTCTGATAATATATCCCCTGGGTCTGATGGGAAACATTGCTATCATCCTGGTGTCCATATTAGATCCCCAGCTCCACAGCCCCATGTATTTCTTCCTTACCAACCTCTCCTTTTTGGACATGTGTTACACCACCAGCATCGTCCCTCAGATGCTGGTTAACCTGGGAAGTTCTACAAAGACAATCAGCTATACTCGGTGTGTGCTTCAGCTTTATTTCTACAGCATAATGGGAGGCACAGAATGTCTGCTCTTGGCCATTATGTCTATTGACCGCTACGTGGCCATCTGCAAACCTCTGCGCTACACCCTCATCATGAACCAGCGCCTCTGCATCCTGTTGATGTCCATTGTGTGGCTGACTGGAATGACCTATGCAATTTCTGAAGCTTCCATTACACTCCAGTTGCCAATGTGTGGCACCAATAAACTGGACCACTTGGTGTGTGAGATTCCAGTTCTGATCAAGACTGCCTGTGGTGAGAAGGAGGCGAATGAATTTGCACTGTCTTTAGGATGCATTTTTATGTTACTTGTTCCTCTATGCTTAATTCTTGCTTCCTATGGCAGAACTGGTTGGGCTATATTTCAGATGAAATCTTCTGAAGGAAGGAAAAAGGCTTTTGGGACATGTTCCTCTCATCTCATTGTAGTTTTCCTATTTTCTGGTCCAGCTATTAGCATGTATCTTCAGCCCTCCTCCTCCATCACAAGGGACCAGCCCAAGTTCATGGCTCTCTTCTATGGAGTGGTGACTCCTACCCTCAACCCCTTCATCTACACCCTGAGGAATAAGGATGTGAAGGCAGCCTTAGGAAAACTGATGATAAATATTAATTCCAAATGATGGAGGACATCAAATGATATTAGTTAACAATTAGAATAGTTTTATATGGGATTCTTTAATAAATCATTCTTGCCTCATAGATTTTATGTTAGATGTTCCTCTTGCAAGATATCACATATTTCTTATTGTCTTTATAATAACATTAGGTAAGGATTATAATGAGCTAATATTCATTGCTGTGAGCACTATAGACTGAAAATATATTAATAATTCCCTTCTGAGTCTATGTACTATGCTAAGTAGTTAAATGTTAACAATACAAACTATAACATGAATTATGTATTTTAAATGAATTAGTTCAAAAACTGTAAAACTAGCATGGCAAATGTTCATAACATGCTTCCTACAAGTTTAACCAGAGAGGCATTTCATGTCTTACTGTGAGGTTAGCCAAGTCTATATGGGCAAAAGGGCTACAACCTGGCGTTCTGTGCAAAGCCGTGCAATCTTGCAAAGAACCAAGAATCTCATTAATAAATCCATGTTAATCTCTACAAAGGCCATTGCTCTTTTGAAATGCATTATAATTGCTGAGTAACAAAGAAGTCGTGTAATTTCTGTAATTTTATTTAGAAATGCATCACTAAGTATTAAAATGAATAGAAGATAAAATGTAAGGTTAAGTTTCACAATATTTTCTTTTAAATATCATAAACACAAGTCTTGTGAATTAGTGAGAACAGACTTTTAACAATAAGCTGCCACATGGTAACATTTCCATGCATAACCTGAAAGAGTAATGGATATCTTTCAAATCTATGAAATAACCAGTATAAGAAAGAAATAACCAGTATAAGAAGAATGCATCTTCTCCAAAAGGTATGTATGAAACTTAATGTCTGATATGATTGCATTAAAGAAAATTTATGGGACAATAAGGACATGAGGGCTCCTCCATCATGAATGGGCCTCAGACCCTTACAAAAAGAGATTTGAAACAGAGTTGTGTCCTTCCTTCTTTCCTTCATATGAGGACATAGCAAAGTACAACGCTGGAAGCCAGAAGTGGATTCTTACTAGTCACTAAAGCACCTTGCAGTGCCATTCCTTGGGCTTTCTGAATCAAACTGTGAGAAATAAATTACTATCATTTGCAAATTACCCAATCTCAGCTATTTTTCCATAATGGCAAGAATGGATGAAGATGTACTCAAAATTTTAAGTGTCATTGTAACTTAGTTAATATTTATGAGAGCCACTCATAAGTTTTGAAGTTGAATCATATATTGGGAACACATCATAATGTTGCTTAATGAAGAAATGACCACCATAAGAAATCATATGGATATTGTTTTGGTTTCTACTATGACCAAGATTCAGTTAAACTATTCGAAGGAAATTACATTTATTCTGAACAGATCCAACTGTAAACAAAATCCTCATATAAAAAAGTACTATTCTATTTCTCAAGACTATGGTATAATTAATTGGGAAAAAGTTATGCTACCATAAATTTCAGCTTATCTCTATATGATTTGGTGCTAATTATTAGAAAATGATAATGTAAAATTTTTAGATGTTAAATGATGTCTCCTATCATTTTTGTTAAAGCAGTAGTCTTTGCTGTAGTCTTATATACTGAGAAAGAATATTTTTAGCAAGGTTTCTATCAAAAACATATAATCTGGTTAAAGTTTGTCTGCTTTTTGTAAACCTTATCCTCTCTCATTGGATTAATGTTTATGTTAGTTTTTAAGCCTATAAAGATTACTCATTCACAAATATAAATGAGTAGAAACTGATAAAATATAATGAGTCTTGAAGAATTATGTAGAAAAATATGCCTGGAGGAAGAATACTGGTAGCAGAGGTTGAAAATGTCTTCTAAAATATTTTATTTGCTGTAGACTACTTCCCATTTTGCAGATATATGTTTAGCATATTTTATGTGAAGCATACTTCAGTTGGCTTGTGGGCTCTGTGCAGAAAAAGAATATATTATCTGTCAGTGAAAATGTGTTCTTCTATTGAGGTAAAGCACAAACAATCCTGAGACTGCTTTTCCCATTACCCTTTCTTTTCAGACACCAAATTGGACATCACCCTGAAATATCATCACTTTCTATATCCAAGAGGCTATATATATTCCCACTACTTAATCTCCCATGTATTTCTCCCTGCTGGGCATTAGCTTTTATGCTCAATAATAAATTATGGCTCTTCCTTTAAGTTATTCCTTAAAACGAACTATAATGTATAAAAGTAATAACTGAAATTCATCTTTCAAGAACATATATTTGGCAGTGCATGTTTTCTCTCATATGAGGAAGCTAGATCTAAAATATAACTGGACATGGTAACCTATGCAGGACTCTAGACATTCACACACACACACACACACACACACACACACACACACATACACACACAGAGTCAGATAGAGGATATCCTTAGGGGAGAAACACAAAGATATAACCTCTTAGAACATTTAAAATACTATTTATTGAATGAACTCCAGGAAATGGAATTTTTTTTGTTATTGTTTTTGGTGCTTAATTTTTGCTTTGGATTTTTTTCTTTTGGGAGGCCTAAGGGGAAACACAGAAAGGGAGAGAGGAAGACTGAACAAATGCAATCATGCTATGAGGGAAATAAATGACTTCTGTAACTTGTGGTCAGGGATGGGAGGGAAAGTAAAGGAAGGGGTGACATGGTCCAAAAAGGGAAATGTACTCATTACTTATGGGATGGTAGCCCCTTGGTATAGCATCTTAATAATGACAATAGCTTTTTTTTTTTTTTTTTTTAAGAATATATATTTGCTGGTTAGAAGCATGGTCTAAATGGTAGAAGACTTGTCCACTAATGTAAGGGCTCTGAGTCCAAACTTCAGCACTGTTCCCCCGACCAAAGCAAGGAATATACTTTTGTAAAAGACAAGAAAAAAGCAATCAAATCTCCCTCAAAGCAATGAAGTAACTGTATTAAAATTGGAATGATACAGAGGAGATGAGTGTAGCTCCTTCACAAGGATGACATAAAAGTTTCTCAGGTATTCCCTACTTTTCTACTTTAAACATGCCATTTTTTTCCCCTTAGAATTTATTCCTGTAGCAAACTTCATTGTGACTCAGCTGTGAAGTTTTAGTTGGGATCAGTCAGGATTCCCAGAAATAAAAGGTTAGATTGAAGGTTAAGGGTGCCACTAAGTTAAAGCCAAAGGCCAAGTTCTGTTTTGTTCTGAATGCAGGAATGAGGAAATCCTTTCCACAAGCCAATGATCAACAAGCCATAGTAATGGAATGGGTAAACCCATTGAACAAAGCCATAAAAATGACAGTACTAGCCAGGCGTTGGTTGATCATGCCTACTACTCAGGAGGTCATGATCGGAGGATCGAGGTACAAAGCCAGCCCCAACAGGGAAGTCCATCAGACTATAATGTCCTATTTACTACCAAAAAAGCTGGAAATGGAGCTGTATGTCAAATGTAGAGTGCTAGCCTTGAGCTCAAAAGCTCAGGGACAACATCCAGGCGCTGAGTTCAGGCCCAAGACCGATTCTCCCCATCCCAAATTACAGTACCAAAGCAATCAGATTTATAGTTTAATTCTGAAAACCTAAACAATCAAGGTAAAGGTGAGAAGAAACAAGCATTGCACATTGAAGTGGTTGTCATTACTGATGATTATTCCAACCCAGAGAGAAGTAAATGAATGTGATGTAAGTATTGGCAGAAATAATTTGAAATGGTCACAAAGCTGTCTTCCCGACTTTCCTTTTGTATCAACTCCAGACAGTGCTGTTATCTAGGCTGGATATTGCATAAAACAAGCAGTAATGAGAAGCTGGAAGCAAAGATGTTTTCAGTGGAATGAAAACAAAACTTCAACTCTAAACTGGAAAAAGAACCTCTTCTAATTCCACATCAAGAGGTTCATAAGATCCAGGAAGCTAAGCAAAGGTACACAGTGATGAAGAGCAGCCTGGTTGAAGATATTACCATCAGAACCTTCTATGTACATGTTAATATCCCCGAAGAGATTTCCACTTTGGTTAAAGTAGTCTGTGATTCCATTGTAGCACAGTAGGAAACTGGAAGATCAACTTCTTTTGTGTAAGAGGCCAGAAGGCTGTCAAACCTTTGTATATATACACACACATCAAGAGGTGCTGGATGTAGCATCTATATGGTCAACAATATTAATAGAGGGCCCAGACTTTCTACTTACAACCACCCATGGAAAGTTAACTATACTGCCTCTTGGAGTTTTCATAAGTGATTTTGTCAACACTAACACAATTATTTCACTAGTTACTAGATTGACCATGGAGAACTAAAACAACCCTAAAACCAAAAAACAAAGACAACTTTACTAAAGGAAAGAAGCATTAAGCTAACTTCTAAAAAGCCAGAAATGGAGCTGTGGCTAAAATGGTAGAGTGCTATCCTTGAGTAGAAAAGCTCAGGGACAGCTTCCGGAACCTGGGTTCTTGCGAGGTGGTGGAGCAGATTTTGGGGAGCAGTGTGACGCCGGGCACGTCGATTGCCCGCCCGCCCCCCCTCGCCACACCATGGTCCCCCTCGCCACACCACGGTCCGCCTCTCCACTCTTCTCTGCAAGAACTACCGCGGGGGCCACCTAACCATCCGCCTTGCTCTCGGCGGCTGCACCAACCGGCCCTTTTACCGCATTCTTGCTGCTCACAACCAATATCCCCAGGACGGGCATTTCGTGGAGCAGTTGGGCTCCTATGACCCGTTGCCCAATAGCCATGGAGAAAAGCTCGTTGCTCTCAATCTGGACAGGATTCGGCATTGGATCGGCTGTGGGGCTCACCTCTCTAAACCTATGGAGAAACTTCTCGGTCTTTCTGGTTTTTCCCCTCTGCATCCTATGATGATTACAAATGCTGAGAGACTGCGAAGGAAACGAGCGGGTGAAGTCCTCTTAGCTTCTCAGAAAACAGAAGCTGAGGCTCCAGAAACAGAAATAAGCTGACTTCAGTGAACATAGTGATTACAAGGTCAAAGACTTCTATATAGAAGTGTATAGAGCTCTTGGTTTTATTAGGTTTAGAGGTCAATAAAACCCACTCATCCTTTTCTGGCCTAATTTGAACAAGGGCTAGGCAGAGATTTGTTCTTGTTTGACATAAGAACTCTACGTGGATACTAAGTAGGTTTTTCTGCTTTTATCTTGGAAAAAAATGTATTTGTGGACTTTTGGGTCCACAGGCAACCTTACAAATTGTTGCCTTCCAAGTCTTTTTCACTTCAAAGCTCCCAGCCAGTGTTCTTGGCCTCCTTAAATATTTCTTTAGTCATTCATGGTCATCCCACAAGAACCAACACAGATACCCTGCCTCTTTTTGTAATGGGAGGTTTATATTGTTTCCTTGGCACATAATTATACCTTTACAGAGATAATGAAAATTGTTTTGGGAGCTATAATAGCCTAGTTTTTAAGAATGAAGATTTATGTATGGAAACAGTACAACAAATCATCTTTGTACAATTAATATACATTTAACAAAGAAGTAAAAGTAAAGTGGAGTGAAGCTAAAGCTCCTACATACAAAAAAAAAGAAAGAAAAGCTCAGAGACAGCACTCAGGCCCTGAGTTCAAGCCCCAGTACTGCCTTACCCCATACACACACACACACACACACACACACACACACACACACAAATTACAGTACTAAAGCCTTATGTATTTACTGAATTCAAAATGCATATTTTATGCATTCTGAGAATCTTTTATTACATTTTAAATACATCTTTAATAATACATGCAAACTAGTTCATGCATATACATTAGATTCCCTGTATATTACATGTAGTTTGCATGGAATTTTAAATCCCTGGTGAAATTTAGTCTTGTAATTAGATTTTGTTGTGTTTTGGTAATTTGTAGCACTTTGTTTTTAAGGCAACTAGCATCATAAATGAACAAAATATACTAGTAGTGATCTAGCAAAATATTTTCATAATGATCATATTTAAATTAGGTATCAGCAGGTTTTATCTAGTTAGAAGCATATTAAAATTAATATTCACAACTTTACTATTCACTAACATTTTTATACTTTTTTACCTTTGAGATCTTAAAATGTAGGACTATATAATATATTCAAAATAATAGTTAATTTGTTCCAGGGATTAGTGACTAAATCTGTAATATTCCATAGAGGTATATAGGTATATATCACTGGGTAAAGGGATACCATAACAAAGATGATGACTAAGAGGTAAGACTCATAACTATTTTAAAAAAAGACATGAGTTATTGATTGGCTTAGACATTTTGTGTTTGCAATCTTTATAACTTATTACCCACATCAACGTATGGATTTGATACCTAATGAACTTGTGGCTTATTGGTTCTTAAGTTTGCATAGATGAAATAAGAAGTTGAATTTAATTTTGCTTTTATTTTTTAAATTCACCTTTCCATTATGCAAAGTATAAACAGCAAACCCCATCTTAACTTTTTCTCTATATACAGTTCAGCATCATTAAGTATATATATGCTTCTGGGTAGTTATAACCATTATCTTTTTCAGGAAATCTTTTGAATTTCCCAAGCTGGAATTCTGGGCACATAAAATAGTAAATGCTCATGGCCCCTGTAACCTCTGTAAATCTACCACATGAATTTGACTGACTTAGGTACCTCATAGACCTGAAATCATATAGTATTTATCCACTTGTGACTAGCTTATTTCATGCTATGTAATGTTTTCTGTTGCTGCATGTCACAGAATTTTTTCCTTTTTTTTCACTCATTTACACTGGTGACAAGTAGCTCAGAATAATTGTGTAACATGATAAGAAACAATATAAGAAATAGAATATGTTTTACAAGAAGGAATGTAGCATGAGATTTGTGAGACAAGATTGAGTTGTTAGAACCCAAATAAATCTGGTCTAATTGTTAAATAATGTCATTTTATGCAACAAATTTTCACTTAGAAATGAAGATGCTCCTCACCAGGCTGCCTAATGCCCCCTTCACATCTTTATTCCTCAGGGTGTAGATGAAGGGGTTGAGGGTAGGAGTCACCACTCCATAGAAGAGAGCCATGAACTTGGGCTGGTCCCTTGAGATGGAGGATGGAGGTTGAAGATACATGCTAATGGCTGGACCATAAAATAAAAGAACTACAATGAGATGAGAGGAACATGTCCCAAAGGCCTTTTTCCTTCCTTCAGAAGATTTCATCTTCAATATAGCATGTCCAATGCATGCATAAGAAGCCAGAATCATGCATAGAGGAACAGCTAATAGAAAAATGCCTAACATGTATAGTGAGAGCTCATTAGCCTCCTTTTCACCACAGGCAGTCTTGATCAGAACTGGAATCTCACACACCAAGTGATCCAGTTGATTGTGACCACACAGGGGCAACTGGAAGGTCACTGTGACTTCTGAGAAGGAATAGGCCATTCCACCCAACCACACGATGGACACTAACAGGAGGCAGATGCGCTGGCTCATGAGGAGGGTGTAGTGCAGGGGTCTGCAGATGGCCACATAACGGTCAAAAGACATTGTGGCCAAGAGTAGGCTTTCTGATCCTCCCATTATGCTGTAGAAATAAAGCTGAACCACACATGCAGTGTAGCTGATTATCTTTGTAGAGCTTCCCAAGCAGAACAGCATCAGAGGGACGATGCTGGTGGTATAGCACATGTCCAAAAAGGAGAGGTTGGTGAGGAAGAAATACATGGGGCTGTGGAGACGGGGGTCTAACCTGGACACCAGGATGATGGCGATGTTTCCCAGCAAGGCCATGGGGTATGTGATCAGAAGAAGAACAAACAGAGGCAGCTCCAGCCATGGACGGTCAGCAAAGCCTAGTAGAATGAACTCTTTGGGGTGACTCTCATTCACTAGTGTCATTATCTTCGAGTAGGATGATGACAAAGACACAATAGGCTAAAACACCACTATGCCTTGGATATGCAAACACAGAGATGAGGTGATTTGATCAGGTGATATCAGGTGACTCCAGTTTTCTTCATGACATCATAAGAAGGAGTTCCCTGCCACCAGTGAGCTAAACATCCTGAATCTCAATTCATTTCTCTGTACTGGAAGACTAACAAGAAATGAGTCCTTGAGATAAGGTGCATCAAACAGAAAGGATATATGCCTGTGTTTAGGTGATTCAAATGAATGGTTTTCTAACTTTACCCACCATTAAAAAGCAGCTTACGATGGTGTTAATGGGAAGTTTAGTTTGGTTTCTACGTCCAGGCTCATCTAGGTATGGTTGGAGAGTGTTGAATTATGTGACGTCTTCAGAAATGCTTCTGCAAGGTGTTACTGGAGTAGAAAATTTGGAGTTATAAGAATCATTAAGAAAAGGCACTGTCAACACCAATATGTCAATGAACAATGAAAACATCTCCGTGGGCAATAAGAAACCCTTGATGCTAAATGATCTATCTCAGTTTTTCAAAATTGAATAGCAGTCAAATCTGAATACTTTCTTTCTGTTTAGACAAGGTCTCATTTGCTAGCCAGGCTGATACTGAATTTGTGTACTAAAGAGATGCTCTTTCCTCAGTTCCTTAGTACCAAGAACTGGCAACTACAGGAATGTACTACAATGCCCAGTTAAATTATACATTGAGAGAGTTTTGCTATCCTGACATTTTCTTCCAATATTGTGTTTTTTTTGTAACTTTTTCTCATTTAAACACAATTTTCAGTATTACCTTTTATTTATGGGTCTTACAGGAATTTTCTTTTTATTGATTGTAGTTTTGACCAAGTTGAAGCATTTATCATTGTTCATTAATCATATTCAATTACAAGTGAAATTTTGAACTCCAGGCAACTGCTGTGAAGAGAAAAGATAATTTCCCAGGCTCAGAGACTTATTCAAACACATAAGCTAATTATATTTTCATCATCTACATATTCATTTGTCTTAGCTCTATGAAAAATAGCCATTTGTTAGAGAAAAGAAGTGAGATTAATACACACACATTTAAGGTTAAAGTCAGTGTCACAAAATGTGTTATAATCTGTTACAGTGTCACAAATTCTGTTACATGGAAAGGTGTTCAGGTAGGATGCCAAACTTGCATCCCCTGACAAAGCTTTTAGGTACTGTTAAATGTACTAGAACTTAAGTGAACCAGATTGCATTCTAATAGTTACAAAGCACCCCAGTGCTTTATCAGTAAGCCCTCGAAGCCAGTCTGGTGAGGCATAACAAAGAAAGCTGCCTGGAGCTAAGATGGAAATCTGTGAACTTGATTATATGATATTCCACCCACGAAGTATAAGAGAATAATTCCAATTAATTCTTCTTGTTTCCTTTGTCCCAAACATGGTAACAAGCTTATTATTTCCCTTATAACCATTAGTACCATTAGTTCTATTGTATATGGGCTATTAAATAAGTACTGTGTGAGCTAGATTCTTAGCATAAATATTCAAAGAATAAAAATTTTCCTACTTTAATAAGTAAGTTCAATATAAGATACCTTTTATGTATTTTTGAACATGAATAATCCTTCATTTTTTTTGTTCTAGTCATGGGACTTGAACTCAGAGTCTGGGTGCTGTCCCTGAGCTATTTTGCTCAAGGCTAGTGCTCTACCCGTTGAGCCAGAGTTCCTTTTCCACCTTTTTTTGGTAGTGAATTGGAGGTAAGAACCTCACAAACTTTCCTGCCCAGGCTGTCTTCAAATTGTGATCTTCAAATCTCAGCCTCCTGAATAGCCAGGATTACAGAAATGAGCTACTAGTGCCCAGTCCATCCTTTAATATTTTAAACTAATTTTAGATTTGATCTTCCTTGAATTCTAACAATCACATTTATCTCTAATACAGTCAATAGTCATTCCAGTATTCTTTCTTCATTTTATTAAATTTGTATTATGTGGAATTTTGTTTTTACTCTTTACCTTATTAATGTTTGTTTGTGAATTTTGATCACCCCTACTAGAGACAAAATTACACACAATTTAGTTGTAAACCTAATTGCTTTTGTTTGAAATTCATCAATCTGGGCA